TTCTGTGTATGTCTTGTGATGCCACTGTATGTTCTGTGTATGTCTCGTGATGCTGCTGTATGTTCTTTGTATGTCTTGTGATGCTGCTGTATGTTCTGTATGTCTTGTGATGCTGCTGTATGTTCTGTATGTCTTGTGATGTCACTTTATGTTCTTTGAGTGACTTGTGATGTTACTGTATGTTCTTTGAGTGTCTTGTGATGTTACTGTATGTTCTGTGTATGTCTTGTGATGTTACTGTATGTTCTGTGTATGACTTGTGATGTTACTGTATGTTCTTTGAGTGACTTGTGATGTTACTGTATGTTCTTTGAGTGACTTGTGATGTTACTGTATGTTCTTTGAGTGTCTTGTGATGTTACTGTATGTTCTTTGAGTGTCTTGTGATGTTACTGTATGTTCTTTGAGTGTCTTGTGATGTTACTGTATGTTCTTTGAGTGTCTTGTGATGTTACTGTATGTTCTTTGAGTGTCTTGTGATGTTACTGTATGTTTTTTGAGTGACTTGTGATGTTACTGTATGTTCTTTGAGTGTCTTGTGTTGCTGCTGTATGTTCTGTGTATGTCTTGTGATGTTACTGTATGTTCTGTGTATGTCTTGTGATGTTACTGTATGTTCTGTGTATGTCTTGTGATGTTACTGTATGTTCTGTGTATGTCTTGTGATGCTGCTATATGTTCTGTGTATGTCTTGTGATGCTGCTGTATGTTCTGTGTGTCTTGTGATGTCACTTTATGTTCTTTGAGTGAATTGTGATGTTACTGTATGTTCTGTGTATGTCTAGTGATTCCACTGTATGTTCTGTTTATGTCTTGTCATGTCATTGTCTTCCACTAATCCATACAACTTGGCTTCCACCCTAATGCTAACTGCCCTGACACATGATATTTCTGTTGCCCGTAAGGAGAATGTCTGCAGCATAGATTATGGAGTGCCTGTTTCCATGGTAAAACTTCTGAATCACTAAACTTCCTGATTCACTGTGTGAGTGTGCGCGCATTGTATGACTGTATGGCCTCTTGTGTTTAGGTCGCAGAATAAATAAAAATAATACAATGTACATGAAAAGGAACACTTAAAAACGAAAAATCTTCACATAATTAACGATCCCAATATAATTTTTTTTTTAAGTCCAACAAAGTAATGTTTATAGCTATCAATCTTTATTCAAGGAGGCTGACAGGGTCTTCAAGATTGTGTGAGAGATGGGAAGTTCTCGTTTCATATTTGCTTTTTCCTCACTGTATTCTAATTCATATTTGTTTGTCACCAGGATAAAGCCTTGGAGGAATACTACTGGTCCGCTAAGTTTGGCCAGATTGATGCAGGCACCATGTATTCCTTCCTTCTATCTCGTGGTACATCTCGACATAGAAGAAGTGCTCACTTTGCTGTAGAGTAAGTGGACACATGCACCAAACATTATTTTTCAAATTTATCTTCGGTATAAAGTAACAATGTTAGAAACGCTAGTAGCGTTGCAGTAAGGGTAGCAGTAGTAGCAAAAATAGTTGTCACAGCAGCTGCTGGTGCTGCAGCAGTAGTAGCAGCAGTAATTGTGATCTGGTAAGAGTCGTAGTGGCAGTAGTGGTATTAGTGATTGTGGTAGTGAGAAGAAATGCTATTGCATTATAATAATAGTTGTAGCGGCAGCAGTACTGATGATTGCGGTGCTAATGGTGGTTGTTAAAGTAGTATTAGTATCAGCAGTAGCAAATGCAGTAGTGGTGGTGGTAGTAGTAGTAGTATCAGTGGTACCAGCAGCAGCAGCAGCAGTAGTAGTAACAATATTTGCCCATTTGGTTTAGCTTTTAAGTCAAATGTCACTGGAACACCTTGTATTAACTTGACTTAGTCTCCCAGCCCCCCCACCCCCCCCCCCCCCCCCCCCATATTTTAAGTAGTAGTAGTAGTACCAGTAGAATGTTAGATGTAGTGGTAATAGCAGTAGTAGTAGTAATAGCAGTAGTAGTAGTAGTAGTAGCAGCAGCAGTAGCAAAGGCAGTAGTGGTAGTAGTAGTATTAGTAGCAGTAGTATTTAGTAGTAGTAGTAGTAGTAGTAGTAGTAGTAGTAGTAGTAGTAGTAGTAGTAGTAGTAGTAGTAGTAGTAGTAGTAGTAGTAGTCGCAGCAGCAGCAGCTGTAGAATATTAGATGTAGTGGTAATGGCTGCAGTAGTAGTAGCGGTAGCAGTAAAAGTAGTAGTTGTTGTTGTTGTAGTAGTAGTATCAGTAGCAGTAGTAGTAGTAGTAGCAGTAGCAGTAGTAGTAGTAGTAGCAGTAGCAGTAGTAGTAGTAGTAGTAGCAGTAGCAGTAGTAGTAGTAGTAGCAGTAGCAGTAGTAGTAGTAGCAGTAGTAGTAGTAGTAGTAGTAGTAGTAGTAGTAGTAGTAGTAGTAGTAGTAGAAGCAGCTGTAGAATGTTAGATGTAGTGGTAATAATAACAATAGTAGTAGTAGCAATAGTAATAGTATCAGCCGTACGGGTAGTAGAAGCAGCAGTAGCAGTAGTAGTAGCCGAAGTAGCAGTAATAGTATCAGCAGTAGTAGTAGTAGCAGCAGCAGTGGCGATAGAAGTCGTAGTAGTTGTAAGCGTAGTAGAATAGTTATGATAGTAGTAGTCTTGTTGTCGCAGCAGCAGAATTGATGGTAGCAATCATAATGATATTATTATGTAAAATGATCCTTACAATACAAAAAGTGTTATGCTGAATTCCAGGTGGGCCAGATTTATTGCCGAGAAAAATGCGTACCTGGCCAAGCCTCTGAGAACCGCTATCAACGCATTCCGTGAAGGAAACTAGTAAGTTGTTGATTTCATTCACTCATGGTTGTGTTTCTGCTCTCTGGGGGCGAGTAAACAGTGTGGAAGCAACGTATCTACCATCTGGCGGCATTGCTGCAGCGAGAAGTGACCAAGGAATCTGAGCTGACACTCAGCTTTCGATGAAAACGCACAACTGACATTGTCATGAGTCATACATTGTTATTCTTAAGACCATTCATTCAGCATTGTTTATGAAAATGAGATAGGGAGGAGAGAAAGACTCATTACAACCATAAATCTGACCGCTACAGTTATCATAGGAATGAGAACTCTACATTGGATATTGTAGATAGGGAATATCCGTTGTGATTCCATGTTGTTTCTTAACTGTCCAGAACTCAAATCATGATTATAATTGTCAGAAATGCCAGTGATAACTATTTGTAAGTCATTATAGTAGTCAAGCGATCGAAGTGATCCAACTGGAAAACATGGATGTGGCTATTATAATGGTTTCCATGCGTTATTACAAACAAATGCCATGATTGAAGCTGACTCACCGAGTATGTTGAGAAAAGTGAAGACAGGCATGCTTCGTGCTGAGTGGAAACATCACTTCAGAAGTCCCGGATAGTTAGCATCATTTGGCTATTTTCTCCAGTTTATTTCGGTGTGTTGGGAAATGAACAGGCAGATAGACTGGCCAGCTCTGTACCACTTGATTGTGATGGCAAGCTGTAAATATTGTGAGGTCCCTTTGGGAGGGAGTGAACATTGCAGAGGAGCCGATAGATCTTTACGGTCCGAAGAGAATGGCGCTGCGGGTAGTTACCAGGGGATCTGGCAGACGATCAACATTTAGAAAAAGGATGAGACGGATATACAATCAGACGGTTACTGGATTGGAACTCCTCGCTTGCTGTATGTCTTGTGATGTCACTGTGTGTTCTTTGCGTGTCTCGTGATGTCATTGTATGTTATGTGTATGTCTTATGATGTCAATGTATGTTATGTGTATGTCTTGGTCGGCTCTGCACCACTTGACGGTGAATTGATGAATGACAAGCTAGATATTGTGAGGTCCCTTTGGGAGCGAGGGAACATTGCAGAGGCGCAGACAGATCAGTACGGTCTAAAGAGACTGGCGCTGCGAGGATTTACCAGGGGATCTGGCAGACGATCAACACGTAGAAGAAGGATAAGACGGATATACAATCAGACGATTACTGTTGCCATCGAAATTCAGTCTCTTCGCTTGTGGGAGTGTCCCGAGTGCTGCGATGTCGATTCCTAATTCAGCATTTAACATTCGAGGCGCTGTGATTTCGATCATAAGTGTGAGGGAAAGGTAGGTAAGTAGTTGTACCCCACCAGGACATCACACAAGCGATAAACACCTGGTGACTTAAAGTGCCACCATGCGGATGAGAATCACCAGTGGAGAGGTCCCAGAAACCCCATTCAGCCGTTAAACCATATCTATCTAGGCCATAGATATGGCCCAGCTATATTCAGGGCCCCCAGCAAAAGCCAAGGTGGGGCTTCAAAAAACAAAACATTGCATCCCACAAGGGAACGATTTTATAACAATTAGGGAAAGTTATTTGTCCAGTATATGAGGGAGAGGTGGGGGTTGCGGGGCCGGTTATAAAAACAACAAAAAATCCCACTGGTAATGAACTATATTATTAGATCGTGCAAAGAATTTGCAGCTAAAATGTGTACACAAAAATACGATTTCCTAAACATAATTTTCCTATTACTGAGAGCCCACACCATCTGGGAGGGAACTGTGATGAACCAGTCAATTGTTGACGGGTGCCTTTCTGATGATTTTTTTTCTCTCATGGAACAATAAGAAGAAACTCCACAGGGTAGTATGTACAGCAGAAGTCTAACAATCATCAGTAGAAGTGATTTCTCGTCGACAAATGTTTCGGCCCACGAGCGCCTAGTCATTTTCAGAGAGTGGGCCCACCTGAGTTCATGAAGCTCAGGGTTGATTTTCTCCTGCTGCACGTATTACCGGATGTTCTCGGACAAGACACAATTAGTGAATATGCAAAAGGTACTGTGAGATACGAAGTTTATTTACATAGTCGCTACGGTAGCATAATTAGACCAGTCAGCTTACCTGGACTACCAAGTGGCAAGCTTACGGTTGGTTTACCGAACACATATACAATCTAACATTTGTGTTATTTCTGTAACAGTGACCTAGCTTTGTACTGGTATCTGATGTTGGCTGACGCAGGACTAGAAGTTGCCAGCTTTAATCTGGCTTATTTGTGCGAACATAACCAGGTAAACAAAACATATTAAATTTCAGAAATAATTTAACTTAACAAAAGTAAATATTTTCAAACATTTGTTGTTATCTTTTCTTATAACAATTAAACGACAATATATTTCCGTGACCCATATATTCAAAAGGCATATATTGTCAAGTTTTCTGAGCTGGTATAATTTAAAAAGGTAGGGGCTTAGGACCTCATGAAGTCTAAATTCGGCACTGGTTCTGTTTGTTTGTTCACTTGTGGATTCTGGTTTTGATCTAGAATTTGGGTCAATCTTTCAGTCAGTTCTGACACAGATGATGATCCATGCTAAAATGTGAAGGTATCCAGCATCTTAGATCTCGATCCCCTCATCTTCGTTTCCACTCCAGCTCTTTCACGGCCACGATGTACTTTAGTTTTCTTCTTCTCATGACTTGACCAAAGAATGTCAACTGTCTTGCACCACATCTAAATCTTTAATTTTTTTTTTAAACGGTATACAACAATTGGGCTCTGTGGCTAAGTCGATGCGAACGCTTCGTAATGCCGGGATGCCGGGCTCGATCCCAGCTGCGGGTCATGCGCCTTGCGTTGGTTTCGGCAGTGGTATCAAGAAAGCCGACCGTCCCGAAATCAATGGCAAACTACTGGACGTAAATTTGCCTAGTAAAACCACACAACAACCAGGGGCTGTTGGGATTGGTTCTGCAAAGTCCTGTAAAGGATACGCAACTAACCAATACAACAATTGATGGAATTATTGCATTTTTCTTCTCAGAGTCTATGCCGTGTGGCGTTGGTAGTCATGTCTATCCACAGCCTTCTGACTTGTTTACTTTTATTCAATTCTGACACAGATGATCTTCCATGGCATGATGTCCTACTGTCCAGCATCTGTTCTCTCGGTATTCCTCTGCCTCTTCTCCTCTCCAACTTTCCTACCGTTACGATTTACTCCAGTTCTATCCTTCGCATGACATGACCTAAGAATGTAGATTGCCTCTTTCTGATGTGGGCAGCCAGTTCTCTTCGTGAGTCAGTTTCTTTCAAGACGTCTTCGTTACTCTTTGTATATGTCCTGGGTATTGTCATCATTCGTCTATAAAACCACATCTCCGCAGCTTCCAAATATATTTTCGCTTTTTTACTAACTGTCCATGATTCACACACGCATATCAGTAAAGGATGTATATAGCTTTTAAGAATAAATAATGTATTACTAGTTTTTTTAATTGGATTTGGTTTCACTGCAATAATGTTTTTTTTTCTGACAGCCAAGAGAGCTGGTAAAGATAAGTTATAATATTGACATGTACATTATTATTTCAACTGCAGAACGGTGTCCGCAAATATATATCCAAAGAATGTGAATGGAAGCATTACAACTTATCCACGCAAAGAGAACCGCATTTCGTGGATGCTTACTGTAAGTATACCATAAAAAGATATCGAACCAAACGAAAAGTAGAACATCAGCTTCACTTTATCACAACCACAAACTGCAAGTGAACGTTGCGGTTAGAAAGCCTTCGTCTGCAAATGACGTCAATAGTCAATGTTACAATTATACCATCATCACCATCATCATCACCATCATCATCACGAACCCTGCCCACTGGCGTAGGCGTTCGTACATCTCCACAGATCTTTTTGGCCTCTGGCTCAGTTCCACCGATGATATCCTTTCATGCCACCGTCGCCGTCCATCCTTCGTCATCTCTCTTGGTCTACGTCCCCCTCTTCTACCGTTGATCTTCCAAGTCGTCCTGTTTAGCTGCATGAAGTTCTTGGGAATATATTGTGGTGGTTTCTCATTACCTTCCACATCCACCTGAGGGTACTCTCACCACATTCTCAGAAGAATGCATTAACTCTATATATTGTCAAGGATACAAATCTGAGTGAACAAGCGTCACATATCCCGTTTGTAACCACATTTTAAATGTACAGATTTACCTAAACGTCATCTCTTTTATTGCACACGATGTTTTAAAAGCAATCCCGATTGACTTGTTAATTCGATTTCTCCAGCATACATAAAAATGGGCGACTATCATTGGTATGGCTGTCTGGGGCACAGAAATCTGGCAGAAGCAGCAAACCAATACTCACAGGCTGCAGTGAAAGGGAATCCACAGGTAAGTAGAATTGTGGGAACTGGGGTGCCAGGTAGCCTTAGTGAAGAATGTGGGACATGTACGCATGATGAATAATATTTTGACGACATTAAATAGCCGAAGCAGTTTTGGATAACAAATACTTCAGTTAGTAGAGTGTTAGTATTGAGTAGCCAATGTTACCATATTACAAGAACCAATCAAAGAGAAATATATCTGCCACTTTACAGTGCTGTCGTATGAAGTAACTATTGAAGAATGATGTGGAACAAGCAATCTTATCTCTTTAACTTCAGCTGCATTCAGTGGCAATAAGTCTTTACAAATGCAGGTTAGATATGCTTTAATGTGGAATAAAAGAGCAGATAAGACACTTGAGAAGAAGAAGAAGAGGAAGAAGAAGAAGAAGAAGAAGAAGAAGAAGAAGAAGAAGAAGAAGAAGAAGAAGAAGAAGAAGAATAAGAAGGATGAAGAGGAAGTGGAGCATGAGGAAGAGGAGGAGCAGGATGAGAATCACAAAGAACTGTAAGAGGTGGAAGACGAGGAGAAGCCAGAAAAGAAGGTGGAGGAAAAGGAGGAGGAGAGAGGAGGATTGGGAAGAGGTGAAGAAGAGAGGAAAAAGAGACGGGAGTAGGAGAAGAAAAGAAGCATGAGAACTAAAACGTAGAGCAACAGCAACCGCAACAGGGTAAGAAGAAGAAAAGTGAATTAGAAGCAAAGAAGAGGGGGTATCTTGTAATGGAGGAAAGAGAAGAGATAACTATAAAGGATAATATGGAAATCGACTCCTTGAAATCTCTTCGACTCCGAACCTACACGAGCTCTAAACAATGTCACTCGGCGAGTGGGAGCCAAAACCCAACCTTAACAAGAAGAAAAAAGAGAAAAAGTACGTTTAGGCGGGGGTAAGATCAAAAGTATCTCACCCTGACAGGACATCTTCTGTGTGGGGTCTAATATAGCAGTAACAGTATAACCTAGGCACACTAACTAAAATAACGAGAATAAGGACAACTAACTAAAAGGTATATGAGCAGACCAGCGGAAAACTAGCCACGTGACTGGTAAACCAATGATTAACAAAATACTGAGTTACTAGCAGACCAACAATGTGCCATAGTGACCTGCCAACCTAGCGAGAATACACACCGACATATTTCTACAGTTTAACTACTAGAGAAATGTAACTATGGAAAGATACCACCGCCACTAAATCAGTCTGACAATCGGCCTTCCCCTGCAGTTGCCCATACCTACGCTGTCTAGCTCAATGTGCAAAGCTACAACAGCTAGGTCGTTGTTCTGCACGGTCAGTCTGAAGGTCAAATAGACAAACACTGAGTCAGTTAGCCTTTTGATACATATTGGCCAGACTTTTCTGCATTACCGTCTAAACCTTATAGCTGTTCCTGTGGCTTCTTTGGTCTGTGACAAAAGGATGAGCAGAGAAAGGGGGAGAAGAGTGAGAACGAAGAGGAGGAACATCATCCCTGAAGTCAGAGGTTTTTAACCTATAGGTCGCGACTCTTTTTTGGGTCGAACAACCCTTTCTCAGGGGTCACGAAAGACTATCGCAAAGCACATATTCATTGATGTTATGAAGAAGCGACGAATATAATTGTGTTGTTAGGTGTCGCCACAACATGAGGAACTGTATTAAAAGGTCACGACATTTGGAAGCCTTAAGTATTATCGTTATGTGCTGTGATTCCTATGCCTACCCTCATCAGTGGACCACCATCGCCTAGAAAGACGTAAAGATGCCAGCAACAATATTGCCATAACCTGCTACTTTTTTTCTTGCCAAATACAAACTTCCGGTACCACACGTGAATCTAAGTCTCTTTCCTTAAGATATGAGAGGATATTTCTAGGAGATACCTCAGTTCAGGACCGAGTGATAATGTGTATTTTTGTGTGTGGTGATTTTTTCTTTTTCTTTTCATTTGTGTTATATGCTAATTAAGGATTTCTCGCTGCAACGTTCATTTGTCTTTTGTGATTGAAATATGAAGCTCGCTAATTTTGCTTCTCATTTGCCTTTATTTTAAAAACAACAACAACATCAACAACAATAAAAACAAGTAAGCTCCTTGTGTAGGTTCTGATAACAAGCATGTCGTTAGAGTAGACTAATGAGGGAGTTCCTTCAAAGTTATCTGTCTGAGAGGTAAGGAACCAACACTCTGCTTACAATTAAGCTAGATCTATAAAACGGATGTGCACGAAACTCAAATACTGGAATGATACTAAAGTCCAGAGGAGGATGAAAAATCAGAATGTGACGCAGGAGTTTACATGAAGTGAACGAAAAGACGAATAAGTAACTAAGACCTCAATATCTAATATGCCGTAAGAGACGTGCTTGTAAACTCTACAGGCGCTGTTTAACCTGGCCTACATGGTAGAAGAAGGAGTCGACATATCGCCGGTTATTTGGTGGAGGTTACACCTGTCTTCAGATATCTACACAAGTAAAGTCAGGCTACTCTTGGAGCTCTATGCTAGGTAAGAGTGGGGTTTTCTTCTCCGAGCTTTTTTTTAAGCCGGTCTTCATTTCTCGGGTATTTTTAGTGATCTCGGTAGACTGGTCCGAGTCCCTAGTGGTAAGGAGCTTCTTATTCCTTACAGCCAAAGTGCTCGAGAAGTGTCTGCCAGTGTCTCTCTGCCAAATGCCAAAGTCTAACATTTGTCCGATGAACCAACAGTAAGCTTGTCACTCTGGTCGTGAAGGTAGACTGCTAATTTGCTACCGCAGCGAAAATATAACACCAAATCTCACAATACCTGTTGCAAAGTCACCATAATGTCTTGTCCCTGTCCGAGAGTCCGATAAAGTGCAGCAGGGAAAGATCGGGGACTGGAGTCATGACTCAGGTCGGCCCACCTTTCTAAATTGTCTATGAAGTCTATCTATCTATTGTCTTCTTAACTTTTACCGGGTTGCATCCCAGTGTCGTAGTTTAAACTATTTGTTTTTGTGCCTCTCGCGTGATTTGAGTGACAGTTTTCTGATCTTCTGGCCGTATTCAGCTACTCCATCTATCCATTTTTCCCTGGGTCTTCCTCTGGCCTTTCTTCCCGACGTTCTACTGTAAAAGGCCTTATAGGCAATCTGATCCGGTTGCATTCTTACTAAATGGCCAAACCACATCATTCTCTGTCTTTCAATATGTTCCATGCATGCTCTTTTTCAACTTTGTCTCTAATACTGACGTTTGTGACTCTGTCTCTTCGTGTATTGTTGGTGACTCTTCGGAGACATCGCATTTCACACGTAGCTATTTTTTGCATATGTGATTTGTTCATTGTCCGATTGTGGCACTGATAACATAACGTAGGGATGAAAATGCTGTTGATCATCCTTTGTTTGGCTGGTTACGAGATCTTTGGATGTCGAAGAAGTGGGGCCAGTTGGTAGTTGACAGCATTGGCTTTTTGAACTCTAGCCTGTATCTCTTTATCGAGTCCTCCATCTTCTGTAAATATGCATCCTAAGTACTTGAATTCTTGAACTTGTTCTAATTGTATGTCATTGATCCTTATGTTTACATTACTGTGTTTCTCTCCTATGGTCATTACTTCAGTTTTTGAGGTGTTTATTTTCATGTCAAATTTTGTACAGTTAGTGAGCAATGAATCAACATGTTGTTGTAGTTTTTGTTCTTCTTTTTGTAACAAACATTGGTCATCTGCAAAGAGTAGTTAATTTATAATATATGTGTTTTGGTTTGACTCCTGTGCTATTTTATCCATATATGTGATGAAGAGTAGGGGTGATAGGACACATCCTTGTCGTACTCCTGATGTAATGGGGAAGCAGTCTGTCATACCTTCCGTTGTTGTTACAGCGCTCTGGCTATTTTGATAGAGAGCCATTATGTTTCCCAATAATTGACCCGGTACACCATATTCTTCAAGAATGTTCTATAGTTTATTTCTGTTAACCCTTTCAAAAGCCTTCTCTTGATCAATGAATATAAGATTCTGGTGTTTATTATATTAGATTGTCTGTTCACAAATTTGCCGAAGAGTAAATATTGCATCAGTGCAGCTCTTTCCTTTTCTAAATCCAAATTTAATTGAGGTTCTAATATCATCCTCTCTCTTCGTTCTATTATTTTTGCAAACATCTTTCCTACATGGCTTTGTAAAGAGATACCTCTGTATGTTTCACAATCTCGTTTATCACCTTTCTTCTTCCATATGGGAACTATAATTGCTCTCTGCCAGTCAACGGGAACTTTCATTTCCTCCCAGGCCATATTGAATATTCTTGTCAGCCATTTTACTGCTGTTGCCATACATGCAAGTATTATGTCTGTTGTAATACCATCTGTTCCGGCCGCTTTGTTTCTTTTGCTTTGCTCTAGGATCTTTTCAACTTCAGATTCTAACATATTAGGTTCTTGTTCTTGTCCAAATTTTATTTTATTAGACACTGGTTCTTGTGGTCCATTATTCAGTAATTCAGAAAAATATTCTTGCCATCTTCTTTTAACATCTTGGGATTTGGTTAGTGGTGTCTATGAAGTAATGGGCTGAAACAATCATCGACGAAGGATCTTTCTACTTACTCATGCTCCCCTGTGGGGTTCTTCGTATCATCTTATAGTGTGGCCTTTCCTTGTTGTATCCTTGAGTGGTTTTATTAAAAGTGGCTCTATGTGGTAAATAGTGAGTGCCAGAGCAGTCTTGTTAGATGGCCGAACCATCTGGAATTTAAAAACAAAAAATGTGTTGCGTATCATTTACAAAACATTTCAGATCCAACCCCAGAATTTGTGTGTGTGTGTGTGTGTGTGTGCGCGCTCGCGCGCGCTGTGTGTGTGATTTCACTTGACAATTTTACGTTCACTAGTTTGCCATTGCTACCCCGGCGAAAAGACTTGTTTGTTCGTCCATTTCTGGACTTGTGCTTTTTTTGAGGACTCAGTTTTACGTGTGATTCCGTTCTAAAGTTCTTGCTCATTTATATGCAGACAGTTGGTTCCTTGCCTCTCAGGCAGATGTTTCACCTGTCTTCAGATATCTACTCAAAAATAGTTAAGCTACTCTTGGAGCTCTATGCTTTGGTTTGTAATCCCCGAAATTTTTCTAAGCAGGTCTTCATTTCTCAGTTATTTTAATGTCTTCGATTGATCTCTTAGTGGCCTTTCTCTTGTTGTATCCTCGAGTGGTTTCTTCAGAGTGGCTCTATATGGTAAATAGTGAGTGCCAGAGCAGACTTGTCGGACAGTCGAACCGTCTAGAATATTTTTAAAAATTTGTTGCGTATCCTTTACATAACTTTTCATAACCAAACCCCAGCATTTTTGGTGGGGGCGGGGGGGGGGGGGGGGGTGTTCACTAGATAATTTGACGTTCACTAGTTTGCAATTGCTACTCAACAGTAGACTCTCGATATTGCTGTGGATAGATGACATTTCCAAGGCCATAAAAAAATTATGAGTAACACCCAACAAGGCTCGCAACAGATGCCTCTTCAAAAGCTGACACTCAAGTCAGAATAGGACTAGGGGAGGAGGAGGAACACGGCTGAACAGGGTTTCTGTGATTAGCTTTTTTTTTGGGGGGGGGGGGGGGGGAATCCCCGTCCGAATATTGTCTTTTTGAGTCGTTATATGTTAATCTTTCAGATTCTAGTCCTAGAGGGGACGATATTATACATATATATTTCAATTAAACCACACACACACACACACACACACACACACACAAAGGGGGGGGGGACACAAGAAAGAAAAGCGTCAGCCAGCGAGACATTTTATGAGGATGAGGATGATTATGACGATGATGGGGAAATTTAGAAATGCCTCTTTATTTTCTCTGTAAAAATAAAAGAGTTCCATGCTTTACAATTTTGGATCGTAGCTGAAAACAGCTCTTGCCATTTCAAATAATTTATGTTTGTTGTAATGGTAATTAATAGAGGTTTAGCGTCTTCTGTAGTGTATGTGGCTCGTCTATTTTCAAAGGCTCTTGTGTCTGTGGTATCGGTGAGGCTACCAAGAATTCATCTGGAATTTCCTCCCCAAGTTCTTGAAAGTCTACCTGTTGTTTCTTTGTATTTGTGTTTTGTTGTGTAGCTTCTTTCTCTACATTTGTGGTATCCTTGGTTGTTAGATCTTTTTTCCGTTGGTGGTATTTTTTTTTTTTTTTTTGATAGCGTTGTTTGATTTTCTTTTATCGTTTGTGTTGACACATACTGTATTTAGTTGTGCAAAACGACCAATATAAACTTCAATATAAGAGTGGCAATGCACAGAAATGTATTGTAATACCACAAAGCTACGTTACTTTAAAATAACCTGACATCTCATTGTGTGTCTTTGTCCTACATTGCTGCACAGTTGCACAATTTCGTTAGTACTGTCTCAGCTCCTTCAGTTTCGTCAAGAAGTTCAGCCAAGAGTTTATTCCCGCCGTTCTTTGGGTTAGGCACTGTAATGTCAACGACATTGAAAATAGCGTCCTTTTTGTTGTCTCTGTTTTAAGACGATGACAGGTAACAGGAACTGACTAGTGGCAGTTAAGTGAGATTTTACTGTCATTAATTGTGTGCGTGTGTGTGTGTGCGCGCTCATGTGTGAGTTTGTAGGGGTGTTAGAGGGAAACAAGTTGAGTCTATCCCAATATATATATATTAGGGCTGTACCGAATAGTGATTTTCACTATTCGGCCGAATACGAATAGTGGGACCAACTATTCGGCCGAATACGAATAGTGTATCATCATCATCAGGTGCCGTGGGCGATCATGCCTCTCCACAATCTGCTATCTCCTGCAGCATGTATCACTTCATGTGCTGACACACCTCCATGCCATGCAACAAGGTTGTCAAGAATCTTCTATCGTTGTCTTTCTCTATCCTTCCTTCCACAGATCTTTCCAGTGGTCACCAGATGTTCCATTCTCCCTCTTCTCATACCATCGCTGAAAAATGACGACTGTCTCCTTCTGATGTCTGTGATTAGTTGTCTTCGGGCTCACGCCTCTTTCAAAACCATCGTTCGCTCAGCCGTTCTTTCGATGTAATTCAAACGCACCTTCATATTCTCGTTAGCAAATATCTTCAAATTTTATGCAGTTTTTACCAGGCAACCAGGTCGCAGTTTCCACCGCTAAGACAGACTTAGGCAACAGCAACTATTGTGTTAACGAGAGTTATTTCAGCCCATCACCGTGTTTGCAGAAACGGGAGTAAGGTAACCACTATTCATATTCGGCCCGACAGCAACTATTCGGCCGAATACCGAATAGTTATTAGGTCCACTATTTGGCCCCGAAGCGAATACGAAGCGAATATTCGGCGCAGTCCTAATATATATATATATAATATATGTATATATATATATATATATATATATATATATATATATATATATATATATATATATATAATATATATATATATAATATATATATATATATATATATATATATATATATATATATATATATATATATTCATCCCTAGAAGCTCCAAGCTGAAGCCGAAACGCGTGATTGCCTGGAGATAACTGTGATGGAAGGTATAGTTTCAGAAAAACGAGGCAGAGGCAGACCTCAGTGAAGGTGGCTACAAGATATTTAAGATGCACTGGCTATGAAAGAACATGGGACGGGTTGTCTGGTTAGACAAAGATAAACTTGCATGCATGCCGCGATGGGAGTGACGTTGTGTGAAGGACCTTCTGATTGATGATGATGATGATGATGATAATTATGATGATGATGATGATGATGATGATGATGATGATGATAATGAATGAATGCATGAATGAATGAATGAATGTGTTAATTCATTCAACACAGGTGCAGAGAATCCAGGCAAAGTGAAGCCTTCATGCCCTGCTGTCTAGCCTGGTTTCGTATATGGTGTTTAGATATTTGGGACCAGTATCATATCTACATGAAGGTAACTATTTATTTTACTCGCGTTTAGCTTTAGATGTATGGGGACCAGTATCATATCTACATGAAGGTAACTATTTATTTTACTCGCGTTTAGCTTTAGATGTATGGGGACCAGTATCAAATCTACATGAAGGTAACTATTCATTTTACTCGCGTTTAGCTTTTGATGTATGGGGACCAGTATCAAATCTACATGAAGGTAACTATTCATTTTACTCGCGTTTAGCTATAGATGTATGGGGACCAGTATCATATCTACATGAAGATAACTATGTTTTTTATTGTATTTTTCTTCCTCATATCCCATATCAATGAAAGAAGATCATCACGTTTCGTCAAGAACATCAGTTCTCCGTGCTTTTAAAAAGTCTCATCGCTGACAGTCTTCCTGCCAACCCATCAAACATTCTCTTCCTATAAGTTTTTTTTTTTTCTCTCGAAACCCCTGGACCTTCCTGATTTATCGTGTCTATATTTGCATAGTTTCATTTTATAAAGAATTACTCAACAACAATATCTAGAAAGACGCATAGCTATTGAAAGGAACCTAATTTTGCTATCCTCAGAATAACGGACACAAAAGATGGCGGCTAATGGCGGCCAAAAACAGGGCCTCAGTGTCACATACCGCTCCTGTCACGTGCCTGATTTAAGGATTTCTCCTTAAGAACCAACAGCACTCTGAAATAATAATGTTGAGTCGTTGGCTCGTATTGGTCTAAGGGATATCCCGTGGCCAATATACGCTCAACTTATTTCAGGAGTAGGGCAACTCAAGCTTTGGCACTACAAAATATATAATATTCCTAGGCACACTTGGCTGGACACCCCCACTACTATAAAAAGGTAGCCCCCAGGTTATGATAGTATACTATCATAGCCATGGTAACACAGATAACACTTATTACTCACACAAACATAAAAGCTAGACAGTTAGAATTGTAAAACAGGGACACCCAAGTCAGCCATGCAAATTTCTGCATGTAATAAGTACAATATTTATACATATATTAATGAATAGATCATCAAGAATGTTCAGTGAATGGAGTTCATGAATCAATGACACAACCGAGATATTGAAGCAGCCAGATGTAGTTCCCGGACATTACATGAGTTCATCATAGGAATCACAAGGAGCTGTGGGAAGAGAGCATGTATATGAATAAGAGATCACTTATCCCAGTTCGTAGGTCAATGCTCCCCCTCAGTCCATGATGATTTGACTGTGGTTGACTCAGTGGGTAGCTATGCCTCGATTTGATCTGGTACAAGCTGAGTGTCTCACAGGTGAGGACACAGGAACTGAATAGGAACCCTAAAAAAGCTCTTGAAGACTGTGGTGCCCGCTGGCTGTCTCACGGGTGAGGACACAGGAACTGCATAAGAGCCCAACAAAGCTCTTGAAGACTGATTCTCTGGATTGATGACATAGGTATCTGCAATTGTCCACTAGTCCTGGAACTCACAAACAAGCTCTTGCCATGTTGAGGTAGTGGCAACAATAGGTAGGACTTTTGTGTATGCGTGGTGCCCAGAATGGTATGGGTTGGTGATTGTTGGCTGGACTGTGGTTCGTCTGCCTGATCTCTAAGGAGGTATCATCCCAAGCTTAGGAATTCTTCAAAGATAGAACTGGTTCTTTGAATGCGCCAATTTTATTCATAGACTGTATACACGTCTTGACACTTTGGAGATCAGGCGAAAGAATCCGCTCAAAACTACGCTTGGCATCTCTAGGAAAGAAGTCCCTGTATTCATGCCCAAGGAGTAAACAGGCTTAAAGGAATTTCTGAATTAAGCACCAGAAATCTTCAGCCCACAGTTGCAAGTTTAAAAATGAAGATTTCTCAAAGCTACTAGAGGGTCTAGAAATGAATATTTCACCAGATAAAGGTATATATCAATATAAGGGACTGTATACCCCTCCGGACAGGTTTAAGTTTGAAATATGACGTGCCCGCTAGGGAGGTCAGCGTCACGACTCGTCCATCGTGTAGGGTTGGCTGTTCACTCCACGACACTCAGTCACGTGTCAATTGCGCACTTCCGGTGACCTAATTTGCGCTTTTCCATCGACTATCGCCACCACTGAGAGTATCCCATACGCCGCTCACGCGGCCTGGATTGGGGCTAAACTAGATGGCTAGGACTCACGAGCAAAGCTGCAGGATAAAACCGAAAATTAAGTCGCTGGAAGTGCGCAATTGACACGTGACTGAGGCTCTGTTAGGGTGTTTTTGCGGCCGCCATATTTTGTGCCCGTTATTCGGAGGATAGGCCCCAATTTTGTCATAATTGTGACACTCAACAGCTTTGTAATTAACTAAGTGAAATTGTTCAAATTAAACTTTGAGGTTTAAACAACGGATCAGTATCACGGCACATGTGTAGTAACCCATAAGAACCTGTGCACTGCGCTAAAATTCTTCAGACTCAGGGTTGAATTAGAAGTAGAACGGAGCACTGCTGGGTTACTACCAGTGTGCTATGATGCTGATCCTTGGTCTAAACCATAAACTATCTTTTGTTCTTGCCCTTTGCCGCTTTCTGCTTGCCTAACCTCGTTTAAATAGTATATTAAAGAAAACGGTTTTTTCCTCTATGAATACCTAATTATGGATAATAATAATACCCACACGCCAGCACAACTCTTAGAACTGCTGTACACTGTTCATTTAAAAGTCATCATCATCGCACATCGGACAAGACAGTTGTGCTCTCATCTCCTCCTGGGTATTTCTCTAAGTGAATTTAGGCTAACAACTCCTATGCTGTTCTAGCGTGGTTTTTGCTCCTTTTGCCACACCCAGTTAGTTAGTTAGTTAGTTAGTTAGTTAGTTAGTTAGTTAGTTAGTTAGTTAGTTAGTTAGTTAGTTAGTTAGTTAGTTAGTAAGTTAGTTAGTTAATCGAAAGATTTTCGTCATTGCACATCAAAAAGTCCATAATCGCTCGGATTCCATATTTAGTATGTCCCCCAGCGTGAAGCTACACCCACAACCACGGTAGCATAGTGAAAAAGGCCCTGCAGGCCCGAAAGTCTAAGGTTCAAATTCGTCAGGTGATTAATTTGTCAAAACTGAGCATTGACTGCCAGGCTGACCCAGTTTAAACTGGGTGGACAAGTGTTCTGAGAAATAAAAGCAGTCGGTGTGGTATTAACCAGCACGCAGCCAATGTCGACGAGTCTACAGTGTGCTTCTAACATCACATACTTATATGTCCTCTGGCATGAAAGTGGGTCCTTTACTTAAAATGGGTTCCATTGTGGGGGAAATTAAGAATAGACCTTCCCTAAATGCATTTCGTATAAGTTGACTACCTGGTGACTTCTTTCAAAGTTAGAGTCCCGCTGTCTGAGAGGAAAGGGACCAACAGCCCGTATACAAATAAGCCAGATGTGTAGAACGGATCGCACACGGCACTCAGGTTCTGGAACAAGACTGAAGTCAGCTGTTAGATGCGTCGGGAAACAATGTCCACTGTTGTAGTGGGCCGCGGGTGTCAACAGGTTGAAGAGCACTGTTATACATGATGCGCAAATTAAACGTCGGCAAATCAGCCATGCGCACTTGTGTATTGGCACCTGAGACAACAGATTACGTCCTCCAAACTGTCCCAAATACAACATATCAAGGCAAAACTTTTGGCCAAGAGAAACAACGGTGCAAGCCGAACTTTACGGATTACTGAGTGAATCACAAAAGACAGTGAAGTTTATACTAGAGGCAACCTTGCATGTATAGACAATCAATTTCAAGCAAGGGAAAGAAGATGAACAAGAAGGAGAAATTATGCACAACTAACTCAACCGCTTTGTGACTTCTATTCTTCTCATCTTCAGGTCACCAGTTTTCTCAGTGTTTTTGTAACCATAACCACGACAACATATCTCGTGTACAGGCATTTTTTGCAACGGCGAATAGACAGACAAAACGAGCTGGAGAGAAAAGCAGCGGAGGAGGAAGAAGACAGAGGCAGACTAGCTGACTTACAGAATATTGTGGAGGTGGAGGAAAATGACGACGAAGAAGAGTTCGAAGACATCTGAAGCAGTAAAAACGTCATGTTTTGCTGTAATGAGACATTTGTGATATTCTTGTGTTTGTTATCTGTCCCTCTCTATTATTTTACATCGTTTTCTCAATTTTCTTCTTCTGCCTTTCTGGCCCTCAATGGAGCACAGGCCCTCAACCAACTCACGCCAAGTTGTTCCATCCTTCCCTATCGCATGCAGCTCTCCAAATCTTTTTAACTTAACTTTCTAGCTCCCTTCTCCGTGTATTTTTTGGTTTTACTTTATTTCTATGCTCCTGTAGTTTCCAGTGCAAAGATATTCTAGTAACGTTGTTCTCACGTTTTTCTCAATAAGTGTACTTTCCATAGCCAGAGCTTTTTCTTCACCAGTTGGTTCACTGGAAGTTGTTTAGTTCTCTCTCTTTCTTACTTTTACTAGTGTATTATTGCTTTTATATCCCTCCTTTATAAGATATTTACTCTTCTGTCCGAGTTTCCCTCTCTTTTTCCTGTTTACTTTTGTTATGTTCTTCTCTTAACTCATCCTATTTCGTCTTACATTTCGTCATTGTTTGATACTCCGAAATTCGGCAGTTGGGACTTAGGTTCCTCCATCATTATCAGGTTTTCTCACAACAGAGTAAAACGATTCTGTGTTGCCTTTGAGTCCCTCATGTGTCGGCCACTCTTAGTAACCATGCTTCATTGTTTATTTTAAATGGGCGCACAACTTCCCAGAGAGTGTCGCTAAACTTGCGCTGTTTGAGGTAGTGACATCAACCAACATAATGGGAATATCTTTTAACGTCTCACTGATACCAGGCTGTAGTCCCGTGTCCTGGTTATTCTGCATTTGTCTTGCGCTTTTCGGTTGGCTTGAGTGATGATTGTATTCATCTTTTTGCAGGTTTCAGCTACACTATTTATCCATATCTTTCTTGGTCTTCCTCGCGCCTTCCTCTCAGATGTTCTGTTGTTAAGTCTCATATGCAGTTTTGTCTGGCTGTATTCTCACTAGATGGCTGAACCATTTTATTTTTTGTCTGTCAATATAATCTAAACATGGTCTTATTCCAGTTGTATCTCTAATGCTGGTATTGGTAACCTTGTCTCTTCTTGTGTTGTTAGCGACCTAGTGGGGACAGCACATTTAACATGTTATTTTCTGTTGTAGTGCCCTATTCACTGTCCATGTTTGGCACTGATAACATGAAGTAGGGATACATATGCTAATTGACAACTGTCACAGGTATTTTTAAGTTGCTCAAGTCACACTAACATTTTGAGACATGACATATTTTTGTTTACATCCTTCGTAATTTACGATTATTTTAATTTTGAAAATTGTTGTTGGACTGCTGTTCAGTTGTTTTGATGTTCTCTCTTAAAAAAAAAAAAAATGCTGTTTGTGGGTAAGCTTTTAGAAATAAGTTTTTGATTTTGTTGGTAGTAAATGTGTTCTTTTTATTTGTAAATGTAATGTAATTTATCAGGGCATGGAGACTGTCTACTTGTGTAAATATTCAAATATTACAAGTGTTGAAAACCTGATTCCGTGCTTATCAGTAGAGAGATAAACGAACGCATTAGACAACAACATAATGGAAAGCTATAGTTACCGTGCTATAATTTTTGATTGTTGTTGTTGTCTGGTGTGTCGTCCTTCTGTCTTTCTATAAGTGCCAATCATTACATTACTACATGTTATATATGTGTGTATATATATATATATATATATATATATATATATATATATATATATATATATATATATATATATATATATATATATATATATATATATATATATATATATATATATAAAATAGAGGTTCCACTTGTGTTTATTTATGTGAATTAACAGTGGAGACTGTTCAACTGAGGTCAGAATTAGAATGGTCATAGCACTACAGATGTAACAGATCAAACCAACTCATTTGGGCAAGTGGCAAACATGTGTCAGTAGATACTACAGTCTTCTTGCCAACCCCATGCTATCAATGCCAAACCTGGACAATGACAGGAACAGAAAAATGACATGTGAAATGAGTTTAATGCGAATGGCTCTTAATATAACCAGAAGAGAGAAGTTCTGAAACGTTGACATGTGAAGGAAAACAGGGATAGTGGCAGCCCTGGATTTCATTATGAAATAAGTGAAATGGTTTGGCCATGTAACCTGCAAACACTTGGTGTCACCAACTGGAAAAAAGAAGGCCAGGCCAACCAGAGAGATGAATGGAGGCAGGTGATATCTTCAGCAAGGGCTCAGAATGAAGAAGAAGAAGAAGAAGAAGAAATAACACAGATGCAAAAAAAAAAAAAAGATTATGTCACAGCAAGCAAGCAAGCAAGCGGGAAGCAAAGATGAGGCAGACCATGCAAACCAGGGACAGAGGAAAAAACAGTCACTGAGAATCCTCATTTACAAAGCCTATAAAAGGGCACTTTCCCGCAAATTATACCTCATCTCAACACCGCAGGGTGTTACAGTATTGAGCAAAGAACTGATATCCCAGCCCTCTGGACATTCTGGGAGCACTCTGTCCTCATCTTCAGCAGCCAGTGAAGAGTTTTAATGCCGATGGTGCCAGTAGCACTTTAACTGTATGTCCTCCTGGCCTTTCCACTGAGTGTAGAGTATGAATCAGATCCCCTGGTCACTCCCAGCTGTACCATTCTCTCCAGACCATAATGATCTTTTTTTTTTTCTTCTAAGTATCCAGAAACCATGAGTTGTTAATCCTTTGGCTCGGTACTATGGATATCGCAACCCATCAGTCTTGATTCCATGACAGATACCGTAAATCTGGGAGAAATGTGGCTTTTCTGCCTACCCCTGGGCGTGAACCCGGACCACAAGGAGTTCGTCACCCGGTCACCGCGCAGTCGGGTTTAGCCAACTTCGCTAGAGAGCCGGGCTACCATAATGATCAATTCATGCCTCTGCAATTGTTCACTTGCTAACAAAAGAGCCTTGACCACATCTGGCTTGTCAAGTGACAAATTGATCACCCACTGGTGCACAACCAGCCAATCTGTCTGCCTATTCGTTTCCTAACAGTCAGAGTGTATCTGCCTGAGAGGCAAGGAACCTACATTCTCTATACAAAAAACCAGATTTGTCAAATGGATGTGCATGCAAAACTAAAGTCCAGGAATGGAGGAACAACAAGAACTTACTGTCAGAGTTTAAAGTCAGAAAATACTTTGAAAAAAAAAAGATGTATACCATTGAAATGTAACAACTGTTTAATCTTTTGTTATAATCAGTACATTGATAAAACACAATTTACATACAGTTTCAAATCATTCATTGGTAAAACAAAGGAAACAAAAACTAATATGCAAATAAACGCTGATATAATTCTACCATTAAATAAATCTGATGGGACCAATGTGTCTACTTGAACATTCCAACAGTAACTGAAATTTGCTTACCAGCAACTTTTGGTTGCTAAAACAGGAAAAACCTGGCCGCAATTCACCGTTCTTCCTTACAGAAAATGCAGCTAAGCTAAAATAAAAAATGAAATTAACTAAAGCAAATATATGTAATCAGAAACTAAAGAATGTATGTTTGTGGAATAAATTATCAAATATGGTACAATAGATACAAACCTTATGTTAGAAGATTTCCCACACATAAATGGGTAATTCATACATGTCAGTAGCACAGACACACTACCCCAGAATTATATGTACACCTAACAAAATATCATGTAAGAGTAGCAGTTATGGTAAGGTAAAATAATAAAGTACAATCAGTGTGCTGTTTGTGACATGGCAAGGAGTGCAGTCAGAATCTTTCCCCAGCTGAAGTGGATTTCGAATAAAAGGGGGATACCATTCAGATAAACCAGTGTGAATAAATGCCCAGCAACATGGCCTTAAAAATGCAATCATTGACAACAGGATGAATCACTCTGATTAAAAACATTAACTTTTGTATGATGAGTTAATTACCCTGTTTTATTAATGATTATTCCATAGAACAATGAGATACTTTTTTTTATTATTATTATTAATACAAAAATGTTTGCATGGGGACAATGATTTACCTTTCTAATGGGTTATAATGCCATTCACATCAAAATATTTTACCAACAAATTCATTCACATAGAGGTCTTTTCAGGTTACCCCCCTCCCCCACCTCTCCCCCCATTCCCTAGTTAAAACAAAATGGTGCAAGTACTCTCCACACAAAGTGACTTAAAAAAAAGTGCTCGGACTCAATCACAGAGTCTATTTTAATAGTGTTGAAAACAAAATGTCTAAAAAAGGTGCTGGTATTGCGCACTGCCAGAAAAAATCCCTGCAAGTATCTAAAGGGCATTAAAAGCTCATTCTTATTAGTGGCTAAAACAAAACAGGCTTTTATATTAGAATACAAATTTATAAATTCTGAGAGTGCAAAAATAAGTACACATTATGAATAATAAAAACATTACAGGGTGAAAAACGAAAGGAAGAGAAGGAAAAAAAACAAATTGCTTGAAATTTTGCTATAAGTCTACATGGCAAGCTTGATAAAACAATAACTGTACAGTGTGTCTAAACTGTACGAACTAGACAGGTGAACAGCAGACACACTTACATTACAATCACTCTGAATTGCCTGAACTAGACACATCCAGAGCAAATTTACCAGCATTACACTCTATCTGAACTGTACGAACTAGACATATGAATAGCATGTAACTTTAGTATGAACCAGACAAATTATTAACAGACACTATTACCAACTGAATTATACGAATTAGACAGGTGACCAACAGACATTACAGTCTCAATTATATGAACTATACAAGTGAACAGTACATCTACTTACATTAATACTAATTACACTTGCATATTCAAGTAGTTTTCAAATGATTCTACTCTCATTAATGTAACTTGCGAAACAGGTTAATCATGTTGCTTACATATTACATCTCTTCAAATTACACATATAACAGATTCATGTGTGAATCTGTTCTACATAATAACTTTCTTCACACAGATATTCATAAAATAGCATCCTTGTTTTAACT